GCGATGCAGAGTGAGAAGGACGTCATTGAATGGATTGAGGGGAGAGGAAGGAGGAGGAGTGGGAGGAGGGGGAGGAGGAGGGGGGGGTGGGGGAGGAAGGGGAGCAAGAGAAAGAGGAAGAGGATGAGGAAAAAGAAGAGGAAGAGGATGAGGAAAAAGAAGAGGAAGAGGAGGAAAAAAGGAAGTGTAGGAGGAGGGGGAAGAGGAGGAGGAGAAAGAAGAAGAGGAAGAGGAGGAAGAGGAGGAAGAAACGGAGGAAGTGTAGGAGGAGGAAGAGGTGGAGAAGGAAGAGGAAGGGGGAGAGGATGAAGAGGGGGAGGAGGAGATGGAAAAAGAAGAGGAAGAGGATGAGGAAAAAGAAGAGGAAGAGGAGGAAAAAAGGAAGTGTAGGAGGAGGGGGAAGAGGAGGAGGAGAAAGAAGAAGAGGAAGAGGAGGAAGAGGAGGAAGAAACGGAGGAAGTGTAGGAGGAGGAAGAGGTGGAGAAGGAAGAGGAAGGGGGAGAGGATGAAGAGGGGGAGGAGGAGATGGAGATGAATTCGGGAGGGAGAAGGGTTGGTGGGTCCTGAGGAGAGTTGAAGTTAGTGGAGGGATAGTGGGTAGGACCAAGACATTGTATACATGTATGAAATTTTCAAGGAACAAAAAATATATCTTTAAAAGATAAATGTCAAGCAGGTAGTTTGCATACCATACATCAGGGAAAGTACAATATGAGATGGGTTATGGAAAGGTTGCTAAGGCACCGAGGCTGTAAAAAGCAATAGTTAATAGAGGTACTTGGGAACTTTGAATGAACCACGAGAGCAATTGTTTATTTCAGTCATTCTGTAGAGAATTGATGCTTGCCTTTGGAAGGAGGTCCTTTGAGCAGGGACAGAGACAATGATGTCACTGCCAAGCTATGCGCCACCTTGGGGAGATAGAGGTCCTAGAAGCCTCAGCCTGCCTCCTAATGCTCACAAAGGATTTCTATGGTGAGGCCTTCTGACTTACCCTGCCATGGTCACTAGACTCCTTTTCTGCATGGTCCTTTGTTTCTTGGAAGTAGGTAAGTTCCCTCAAAATAAAGAATCTAAGCTTGGGGCATTGATCAGTATGATTTCAACTACTTTCTTATCTCTGCTTCACTCTGTCTCTTTTCAGAACCAACATATGCTGGAGTCACTCAAACACCTAGGCACAAGGTGGCAGAAAAGGGACAAAATGTGAGTCTGAAGTGTGAGCCAATTTTAGGACATGATACTGTTTACTGGTACAGACAGACTTTGGTGAAGGGAGTGGAGTTCCTGATTTACTTTCGCAACCGGGATCCTATGGATGATAAAGGGATGCCAAACAATCGATTCTCAGCTCAGGTGTCTGAAAATCCCAAGGTCTCCACTCTGACGATCCAGTCCACAGAACCCCAGGACGCAGCTGTGTATCTCTGTGCGAGTAGTTTAGCCACAGTGCTGCACAATCACATTCTGCTGAGGCAGAAACTATACGCTTCCCCTTCCCTGTCTCTCTCTTAGCTGGTCTCAGCACTGATCTGAGGGTCTTCCTCACCACAGGAAGGATGTGGGTTTGATGTCTTCTCTGTCCCTAGGTAAGAACAGACTGTGATGCATGTCACATCAGAAAGCTTTGATAGGAAGGCATGGGAGAGGAGTGGGGATTACTCACAAATTTCTGACTAGGGAGACTAAGTCCAAGATTAAGGGTGAACGTCACACAGTGGGGCTTCCATCTGATTATGTAAGCTGAAGACTACCAGTCAGGCACAGGACACATGATCTCCTGTTGCTGTTCATTGAGTTTCTCCACCACTTTTTGTCTCGTCTACACTAAAACCCCCAGCTTGCTTGATGGCTTCCAATATCTAGATGATACTTTGGATTGGCATTATTTCATCACTTGCTCACGTCCAATGATTTCCTCCAGATTGTCTCAGGTATTCGTTTCTGTCCTCATATTTTATGCCCTAAATGGCATTAGATTTAAATCACCTTAAAACAGCTCTCTCACTCATCCCACTGTGTTCTTCGTTCCTCTCTGATGCTGCCTGTGCAGCACATCCTCGTCTTGTCAGGACACTGGCCTCTGCAAATTTATTCCTTTTTCTCCCACTTAGATCCCATGGTCTAAGGAAATCATGAAATTCTTGCATGTATCTTTAAATCACATTCATTTTTGTTCTTTGCTTCTTTCCTGGAAAGAATCGATGCCATTTCTGGGCCCCTTTGCATGATGACACAATAATCCTACAAGGTCCTTTACCCTCACCGAGTAGCATTGTGACTGTGTAGTATGCCTTGGGGTACACAAAGCCATGTTCATATATGAAGTATCATATTTTCCTTTTATTAAAAAGCTCTTACTTTGATTGGGTTTGTTGGCTGTATTCATACAGTGTAAACTTTTGACAGTTATGAAAACATTAAAAAGCATAATGCATGATCCTGTTTTTATGGATATTTGTATATCTGTTTCACTTCATATCGTAGAATGAAGTCAAAAGAAGGATTGGCATATTTACTTATTCAGTGGCAAGGATAATCAAGATAAACCATTAAGAGGAAATAATTTGCAAAATAATGCAAGGCATATGAGATTAAGAAAAGGATAAATCAACAAAGGTCCATATTAAAGTCCACAGTCATTTTCACAAGGAAGGAAAATATTGTAAAACACATTTCTGGTTATCTGATAGAAGAAGAAGAGGAGGACCAGAAAAATGATTAGCCTAGCCTTATTCTGTTTGTAAGCTTAAAGTACTTTGCCACCAAATTTAACAACAAAGCAGTAATAAATCAAATACTATCAAAAAATCATTATTTAGAAGAATAAAGAGTCAGCTTATAAACAGAAGCACAGGAAAAGCTAATGACTACCTGCTTTCAGACAAGATGAAGGCCTTACAATGGTATCTGGGGGTTTAATGATCATTTAAAGAGATGACATAAAAGGATCTAGAATTATAGCTCATGCGTTCATCTCAGAGCCTCAAAATGGTCCCATTCTTCATGAACACAAAGTTTTACAACCAAAAGCCCAGAAACGAAGTTACAAGACTGGATGTTTGATCAGGCCTTTGGGTGACAGATAAAAGAGAAAAATCAGCAGAGAGAAACCGAAATGCCATGCTGTGCATTCCAAGCTTGTGCAATGAAATTCCATATCCTTGTGTAGAATGAGATCTGTTTGCTCAGAAACTGACCAAAAGGCCTGTAATCACTGAAGTCCTTGGAGACTCAAACAATAGGAAATTCAGTATTGTTCTGGAGGCAACTTTTATTTCTAACCGTGATCGATTAACAGGGATAGGAGTTAACTTCCCACATGAAATAGTTTTTCTAAAACATCCTAAAATATGTGAAGTGAGGTGTTAACACATTGGAAATCAGGCAGTCTCTGAGAGTTGGAACACACTGAAACACAATGGGTATCCTATCCTGATGTGTAGAGGATGTTTCCAGACTGTGGACTGTAGGGGACCCCAGGGTGAGCTTCGTGATCTCATTGTACTCAGAGATGAAAACACAAGGAAGTGCGTTATAATCAGCACATGTAAGAAACTCTTTAAGGTTGGAGAAAGAACCACTCAACTCAAAAGAGGAAGCAGCCAGAGCAACTAGTCCACCACATGTCCAGTTAACTGAGATTAAACTAAACTCAGGTCCACCTATTACCTTCAGCAAGTCTTGGTCCCTTGTTTTTATCCTGCACCCATCTCAAACAATCCGAAATAAGTGTTGGACCCTGAGGCTCCATCTCAGACATGTCTTTTTTGGGCCCTGGACAAGCTCAATTCCTCCATGAAGAATCAAATCTAGCATCATCTCCTCTCTCAAAGTTCCAGTTGTTGCTTTTTCTTAGTATACCTCAATAAAAGCAAAAAGAAGGACTCATGTCTTTTTGATATGCATATTTTATTGGGTGAGAAATACAGAAAACAGTTGTGATGAATGAAGCAAACAGTATGTTCAAAGATCTTTGATACCCACCTCAGAGTAAAGGAAAGCAAACAGGCAAGGGCTCAGGGTTGCCTGAATAAGGAGTCTTGAAACTATAAATAGGACTGAACAAGAAAATGCCCTTTGAGCCAGGACATCAAGAAGATGATGGAGAGAGACATACAGGGATCAGGAGCAAGAGCGCTCCCATTAGAGGGAAGAGCTGCTGTATGCAATCAGTTCTTGGATGAGAGAGCTGGGTGGACACACTCACTCTTCTGTACCAGCCTGCTGTGTGGGAGGACTCTGGTGTTTATTTCTTCACCAGTAGCCAATATATAGTAGCCAGTCATGTCCTTCTAATACAAACCCACATCCTTCAGCCCTTTCAACTCAGTAGCCCTAACAGAACCCTGTCTGCAAGCTGCCTCCCTTAAGAAGAAGAATCAACTAGAACTCACGAGTATTCAAGAAAATGTGGATGATAATATTTGTGTCTAGGGAAATTCCTCAACTTCCTTACACCAGAATCAAATTATCTATTTCTGGTATTTTATTTTATTTTATTATTTTATATTTATTTTGTAGCATATGTTACCCTGGTATAAAGTATAGCCAGTTGTCTTCAAAGGTTGTGACTCTGACTGCCAGCTTACCTCTTCATATCCCTCCTTACAAATAACATTATAAGTCTCTCTGATGGAAGTAAAAATATTGAGTCAAAATCTACCTACTTCTGGCTTGTAGATTGCTCAGTTGTGATGTCAGCAATGGAGACCGTAGTGACAGAGTACATTGGCATGGCTTGTGTAAATTTTCTAACACTCCCATGTTTGTGTGGAATAGCTGGGTCCATTATTAGAGATTAAAACTAACATTCCTACCTAAATAGGGTCATTTTTAAATGTATAAAACATGATTAGCACTATCTGCAAATGTGTCAGCCAATCCAGAACATTTTTAGGTCATTTCCAGCTGTAGCAATTTCATTATGGAATTCTTTGGGATGTTGATGAGTCAAGTACGTTCACCTTGACTAGCAGTTCTTTTTAAGTGTGCAGACTGAGGTATTCCTCCCTTCCATTGGCCATGGTTTTATGAAAATTCTTGAATTGAATTCCAATAATAATTTTTATTTTCTCGGTCTGATTGCTTATAGTATCTCAAATTTTAAATAAATTCATTTCCTGTATATAATGGGGAAAGACTATAAGGTCTTTAGATTTAAAATTTTCCAAACATTTCAAATTTTGTTCTTATTGTCAAGTTAAAAAGTTTTAGATAATCTACAATCTATTTTTATCTTTTCTACATAGAGATGCAACACTAATGGGACATTCATTTTCTACCACAATACCGTGAACACATATCTTGCCTAGAACTTACCTCTTACTTTCTTTAAAATAATAAGAATTTGATTTCTAAAACAGAGCTATATGTACTGGGTATTAATTTTTACTCAAAATTACAGGTAAGGAACTATGCAGAATGCTTTTTCTTTTATTATACTGTATAATTTACAGTCACAATAAGCAGCTGAGTTGTCAATTTATTCTTCCACTTTAATCTCTCCATTACAACCTAAAATAGCAGCTACCAAGAACGCCAAGCTCTAGATAGGCGATTCCTGGACTCCAAAGCACAGCCAGTCAAAGTTTAATTAAGCACTTTGACATTTGATAATACGAGCCCTTAACATTCCTTCCTCTCATGTACATCATTGCTCCCTTTATAGCTATGTTAGCTCAGGCATCTTAAAGTATGCTTCCTTTATCTTATTTCATTTATTTAATTTCCAAGCATTTTGAGTTATGATTGACAGACAAAAATGATATACATTTAAGGTGTACAGGGAATGCTTTGATATGTGTGTACTTATAAAATGATTAACCTTAAAGCTAAATAACCCATTATTTAGTTACCATTTTCTTCTTTTCTTTTTTGTGTGAAAACACTTCAGATCTGCTTTCTTAGCAATTTTCAAGCATGCGGTATGGTATTATTAACTATAGTCACCATGTCGTACAACAGCTCTCGAGAACTTTCAATCATACTCCAATCACCAGTTTCTATTCTGGCTAAGCCTAATATATGTCTTGATGTTGCAAATAATAGGTATTATTAGACTCCCTATAAATGACAGTGAGGGCTACCATGAAAGAAGGCTCCATGGAGCAAGCACATGAAGTTTCTCATGCCTTTTCATTTCCCAGAAAGCATAAAAGTTACAATTCAAACTAGATACTAATAAATCAAGGACAATTAACCCTTTAAACAACTAGCATTCCCTGACACAGAATGTCTAGTGTCTACATGTTTACTGTGGTGGAAGATATTCCACACAGGACTAGAAAGAACACAGCACTAAGAGGTAGATGGGTACCATGGTTCTCCACAGAACCATGGAGAGAGCACAGAGCTCTTCATGGGTGGTGGAGGATGAGGGACCAGTGTCTTGTTTATTCATGCTGCCATTGGACTTTACATTTCCTTTTAGTCAATAAATTTCCTCTTTAATAATCACCTTGTGATGCAAAACACTTCTTAAAATTCTGGATACATGACATAAGACAACTATGAAGGTAATGCCTAAGAATTCATAGCACTCATTGACACAGCTAGAACAGAAAGTAAGAATGATCCACTTATAACAGGATTACTAGAGAGACTATGAATATTTGTCTCTAAAAGTCTATAATCATAAATATAGAAACTATAGCAGGATGAACTCTAAGCTGTCTTGTAACGTGAAAAACTAGGTGCAAGATGTGGAGGGCCAGATGAACGTGGAGCAGACATAGGAAGTGACAAATCGGGGAGCACTTGTCCCAAAGAGGCATCAAATGATGTAGAAGACAGATATCTGCTTATGCCGGGCACTGCCAATCCCAGACTTGTCTGCAGCAGGAAGCTGAGTATACTATCACAGCGTGCCTGCCCTGGTGGAGTTACAGGCAGATCTTCGTTTAAGAGACTAGGGACTCTCAGGATTCCCACCTCTCAAGGATCAGAACCTGGAATAGACAGATGCTCTGTTCCTGTTCTGGCCCTTCCATGGATTCTGGGATTCTTCACTCTGTGACTTTCTGCCTTCTTGGAGCAGGTGAGTCCTAAGCAGAAAGGCAATCTTTAAATAAGACTGTTGTGTATTTGGTTCGTGACCTTCATTTCATGCTCTCCCCCTTACTTAACTCACTCAACATTTTTCTTTTCTTTCTGCAGCTTTGGTGGATGCTGGGGTCATGCAGAACCCAAGATACCAGGTTGTCAGGGCAGGAAAACCAGTGACATTGAGCTGTTCTCAGAATCTGAATCATGACTGCATGTACTGGTACCAACAAAAGCCAAGTCAAGCACCAAAGAATCTGCTTTACTACTATAACAAGAATTTATACAGGGATCCTGACACTGTGGATAACTTCCAGGCCAGCCAGCCCAACACTTCTTTCTGCTTTCTTGACATCCGCTCAGCAGACCTGGGGGACTCTGCCATGTACCTCTGTGCCAGCAGTAAAGCCACAGAGCTGCAGTGTAGCCTCCCTTCTGCTCATAAACCTCTTCCTTCCCCAGGTCCCAGGGCTTTCTCTAGAACCACCCCTCCCTTCTTGCAGCAGTAGGAAGTGGGCTTGCAGTTGCCACTTTCTCATTCACATACAGAAGTTGACCATAAACCTACAATACAGCACACATGCCAAGGGTAAACAAATGATTACACTGGCCTGACACTCAATTTGCAGTACTTTTCCATGATCGCCTATTCTGCTATGGTACAAAATTAGAAACTACCCCTATACCTTTGAATTTAAGTTGGATTCTTACAAGTACAATCCTTGTTATGTAAAGGGCTACAGAGACTGAATGTCATAAATACTGAAGTCTTTGGCCTTTGGGGAACCATTACAATATTTAATAGTCAACAAAAATCCATACATTTTCATACCAGACCCAAAAGAACGACCTGACTAATGAAGAAAAGAAAGCATCAAGTCTTCAAGATGAAAATATTTTTAATTTTTAAAAAAAATTTTATGAGCATGAGTGTTTTGCCTGCATATATGTAAGTGCATGCATTGTCTGGAGAGGCCAGATGGGGGTGTCGGATCCCCTGGAACTGGAGTTACAGATGGTTGCCAGCCTCCATATGGGTGGTAGGAGCCAAACCTTGGACTTCTGCAAGAGCAGTCAGTCCTTGCTCTTAACCACTGAGCTACCTTTCCAGTCCCAAGATGAAAATCTTTTAGAAAAAAAATAGTCTTGGAAGGAAAAGTTTATACATTAATCTACCCATATCTGGATTTGGAGGTGCTATTGATATAAATGAATGGAAACTAATAGCAGATTAAGAAACTATACTGAAATGTGAATGTGTTTGTCTCTGAAACTTTTGGAGTCATCTGTATATAAGTAGGTGACTCATCTACTCTGAGGTAGATGAGGGCTCAGGTGAATGTCCCCAAGGAAAACTTCAGGTGATAGATCTTATGTCCTTTGACCAAACTAAAGAAGAATTGAACAATAAATACTGTAATTTTGTAAATGACTACATCAGAGTATATATTTGTGTATTGTCTTATAACTAACATCCCTTGTGATAATGGTGTTCTGAAGAAAATCAGAATATATAAAGTAACAAAGTAATCTAAATATATAAAAATTTTCTCATTAAATAAAGATTTAGAGAAAACTATGATAAGATGTAAAAGAATACTTGATTTAATGATGATGATGACTAAACACTAATTACATATTAAAATTGTTTTATTTACCTATATTCATAGGCCATATTAGTTTTACAACCTCATGAGATAAGCACTATAATAGCCTTACCCATTTTACAGATGAGGACACTGAGACACACACCAATTAAGTAATCTCAACTTTACCACATGCCTCATTAGTGGTGGGACCAAAATGCAGACAATTTATTCCTGGAGCAAGAAGAGAGGAAAGAGAGAAACATTGGCCTTAGCCTGGGAACTGGGAGAGAAGGACCCTAATCTTGGCCATACATTCCTGGGGGAATGTCTGTCACATTGAGCTCCACTGTGGTGGGAGAGGAACAGAGTCCTGGCTGCAATACCACCAACCTGTGCTGCTCTTGCTGAAATTCAGTAGATTTTCTTTATGCTCTTTTCAGAGATCTCAAACAGATGTCGTTAAATTTTCAGACATTTTTTTTTCTCTGAAAAGAGAATATGCTGCCGTTTTGGAAATACACCCCTCACACCGTGAGTCTGTTTCCAGGAGTAGACAACCAGGGTGTGAGTTGAACTTGTTGGTCCCTTAGTGTAGTTTAATCCAAGGTTAGTAAGTCTTCACTGGGGCTCCTCTTCAGTGTCTTCAAATTTCATCCTATGCAGATACAGACTTTTTTATTACATTTTATTTGTGGTGTGTATGTGTGTGTGTGTGTGTGCGTGTGTGTATGCATGTGGGTCTGTGTGTGCCACAGCATGCATGTGAAGATTGGAGGACAACTTGTGGGAGTTGGTTCTATCCCTCAACCATGTGGTGCCCAAGGATTGAACTCAGGTTTCCAGGCTTAACATCAGGCACCTTCATTTACTGAGGACTCTAGGCATCCCACAGTTACCTGAATGGCTTCCTTTCTGGTATTTTTCCTAGTAACTTATTTCTCCTTAGACCCCTTTAAAGTCTTGGCCCTGTCTCCTCTTCTTGACTCAAATTCACTGTGCACTGTTTACCTCCATCCCTGATATAGACATTGCCCTGATTCTCTTCTTCTAGCAAAACAGTTGTTTTGTGATGCCTGTTTTCTATGACCAAATGCTATTGCTTCATATGTTTGGTGTCACCAAAGACTATTGGATTCCAGGTGGTGATCATGTCACAGAGAGTTGTGGTTAGAGAGAGAAAGCCCCTCATCTTTGTTCTTTTCCTGATTTGGCCATGTGCTCGATATGCATCTTCTTCGTGGTCCTTTGCTACCTGGATGCAGCAAGTCCTGGTTCGAACCGATCAGCTCTGCTCCATGCCTTTCCTGTGGGGTTTTGGCCTCCTTCTTAGATGCAGTCTCCAGTCTCTGATGGCTTTCTTTTCAGGATCTCTTGAAGTCACGCACAGTCCACAGCATCTCATCAAATGGAAAGGATGGGACGTAAAGGTGCATGTGTCCCAAGAAAAGGGCAGATGTTTTATAGTAGCAATGAATCCTGATAAAAGAATTCAAGTTCTCGATTTCCTTCCAAGGTCAGTGTGTCCTGCTCTGTAGCTGAGAAGTCCAGTCTATGGAGCTGCAGGAGTCAGCTGTGTTTGTATACAGGTATCTGTGTACCATTACAGGTGTGAGTGTTAGCTGATCTCAGTGCAGAAGCTCACCGTGGGCACAGCTCAGGAAACAACGGCACACCAGGGTTGGAAAAAATTACAGAGACTAGGGAAAGTTAATTTGGGAAAAAGAAAGTTTACAGTTTTCTTACAGTAAGAAAGTTTACGATATGTCCCATAGAACCCTAAAATAAAAATAGGAATTTCTCATTTAAGCAGAATAAAGTCAGAATTGTGCCATGGTTGATTTGAACCTCCTTTCCTCTTCTCACCGTCCTGCCTCATTATTATTCTTGTTACATGTTGTCATTTTCATTTCTCAGATCTCAGACTAATCAAAATATTAGAGATTCAGATGCCGGCCCTCTAGCCATGTTGAGAAGGACCAACTTAACTTTCTATTATGGTAGATAAGAAATCTAGAACGCAGGAAACAAAATCCTGTCTGATCCTGGTATACTTAAGGAAAGTGAACATAAGCCATAGTTGTTGGGTTATTTAGGAAAACACAGAAGTTTGGAACCTATTACTCTGACTTATCAATCAAAGAACTCAAGGAGAATTCCCTAATTAGGGGCCAGTACATGCAATATCATGTAACAATGCAGTCACCATCCATGTACATGCAAAGAGGCACTGTGGTGTCAGCGTTACCTAGGTAGGTGATTGCACTTAACACAGAGTACATTCAGAATTCAGTATACCTCTTAAAGCTGAATCATCCATTCTAGCC